AAAAAATGTACAAGATTCCGGTTGGCGGTGCTATATTTAATTTCTAATTGACCCTGGAGTTCTGGGTTGCACGGAAGGAACGGGCAGCGGCGGTGGTAGTGGTAGCTGTGATGGTGCTGATGTCGAAGGTGAAGTATCAGAAATTATTTGGTCATTCGTCAAACCTATAGTGTTTTTATTTTCGACTGTGTTATTGTCGTTTATATGTTCATTTCCTCCGTTTCTATCGTTCTGTTGATTTTCAATATATCTATTAAAACTTTTAACACTACTAATTGTCCCATCACCTCCATTTCTACCCGTAATACCTAATTTACAACGACTCCCTCTACAATTGTGACGACCATTTCTGCTAATGCTATAGTTTCTAAACACGTGACTCAATCCAAATTCTTCAAATTTTAAAACATCGTCGCCTATTTTATATTTACTGAATGACATTGTTCTTTTTAAATTTCCAAAAGTACTAGGTGGAGACTCAACAATTGTCATTTCCATCATTTGATCTATCTCAACATCCCCATTTATTTCATCATCTGCAACTATTGATATTATATTATTTATATTTGAAGGATCATTACCAATAAAAGTGGAAATCGATGACCGATTACGGGGTTTTGAACAGCCGCATATATTGAAACAACATGTACAAAGAAATAAAGATCGTAAAGCTTCTTTAGTTGTACCAAATATTAAGAAGAGACCAAATGTTAATATTGTGTTGAAATAAGCATTTATATGTGGTATTAATATGGAAAGTTTTTGACAAATTGGGGACATTGCAATCGCATTTATGATCGTGAGTAAGTCTTTGAGTGGCTGGACTTTTTTTTTTATTTAAAAAAAAAAAAAAAAAAAATTGTTTGAGATGAATTGGGTGATAAAATGTGTACATAAAAATTTTATATTCATACTTTATATTAATAATTTTAATTTTAAACATAATTTTAAACATACCAATTTTTATGGAAAGCAAAATAAAAAAAAGAATGCAAAGTAGGATCATTCTTACGCACAACCTAAAATCGTAGAAGAAATTTGAGTATATGTACATAAAAAGTCAAATCTATTAAACAATTAATATAATTAAGTACCCTGTCGGAATTTTTAATTTGTTTGCTTTACGCTCCCTGGAGAATTTTGTTCGGTACGTTATCAATGCCCATGACGCATGAGCTAATAATAAGATAAAGTGTTAATGATCATAAAGTAAACATGTGAACTTTGAAAATTTAAAATGTTTAAAACCAAATACCGCCTAAACCAAGACCTATGAACATGCACAGCAAGAAAGGAATATGGCTTGTGGCAATATGAATAAGACCATCTGAGATTATACATTGATAGTAGGATGATGTAACACCGAAGTTGACTTGCGAATTTAGAAGCATGAATGCAGCGAAAGTTAAGAATAAAGGAACACACCAAGAGAATATTATGTGAATCTATATTATATTGGGACGCGTTGAAATATATATATACTTTTATCACATTATACACGTTATGTACTAGATATTTACTGTATTCATATTTTTATACCTTGAACCATTTCATCTCAATATCGTTTGTAGCTTTAACCAATAGCAACCACATATTAATCATCAGACAAAATATCCAAAATCCAATACTCAGGTGTGTAGAATATAATGCGAAAGCTTGAGCAATACAAATAGGGTCTAAATTAGTGTTGTTTGTAAAGATCAGTGACATTGTCGTAGAAGAAGAGGATGTATTCCAATATTCCATGTCGGTATTATTTGTAGAGTAAGTATCATTATTGGTAAGAGGATCGTTTGTTGGTGCCGAAATTACAGGAGCGGTGTCAATGAAATGATATTTCAAAGCAATGGGTACACTTATTATGCAATCAAATATCGTGGTTAAACTAAGGCAAGCCATAGTATAATGTTTCCCTTTATAAAGAAATTGGAGACATAAAAAGAATAAAGGTATAATGTTGAATAGTTGAAAGATTATCCATATTTGAATCGCTGTTTTATTTGTTGGAATCATCTTTATTCTTTGAGGTCAGGTGACACCTTTATTATTTATATTAATTCTTCGTTAGAGTATACAGTGTTTGTTGAATTAATGGGTAGGATTTTTACGTTGTTGGTCGTTGTTTAAAGTTTACATATTCAAAAAAACTTTCATTTTGATTTTACCTCAATAGTCGAAGTTTGAAAACTATTATATATGCGTGAAAAGTTAATAATTCATCAGATCTTAATAAAATTTATGTACACAACTACCAGGGCAAAAAGAAAGATAACGTAGTTGTCCAACAAGAATAAGGGAAAAAAAATAAAGGAATGACAAGATTAGATCACTAACTTGGACGTAAAAAAGAAAGAAAAGTACTTTACAGGCCAAATAATTATTATTTAGGTTACTTGTGATAGTTTGTCAAAATATAAATGACAAACAAAAATTTTTATCGTTTCATAATTGATTTAAGAGTTTCAAGCCAGTGGCGCAGTATGATTAATTTGATAGAAATGATTTTGAAACGAAGAACCCCCCTTTATTAGACAAACACAATATCACATGCTTAGATGAGATCTTAAAAGAGCTTTGTTATAAAGCCTGGTCTGTGCGTATTCATTTCTAACTTTACGTTTCAAAAGATTTCTATTCAGATCGTATTTTATCATTCAAAGTTTCATGCATTTAGAATTTATGAACCAATGTTATTTATGTTTGATTAGATAATCTTAGTGCATTTCTATAACCAGGTAACAAATTAGATTAGTTGACCGATTGGTACCATATATTCCTCTAATTAGGAAGTATTGTACGCGGGATTGATAAAATTGATAAAAGTGGTTAAATTTTAATTTACATAAATTTGTTATTTTTATTTTTTTTTTCTGATATCTTTATAAATTAAAAGTTGAGATCTTATGAGACAAGATGGAACGGATAATTAAAATGTACAAACTGTTAAAGATCATTTTAAACCTGGCACCTCACAAGATTATGGTAATTTCAACCTAGAGGGTTACCCGCCCGTATAAAAAAACGTTAACCGGATACAAAATCGAGTTGTTATGACCCGGGTTACCCATTGCGTACGTATTATCTATGATCCGATAGTTACTATTGATCATGCTACCAATTATTTCTTTATATCATGGTATATTGATTATTATTACGTCACAATGTTCTGGTATCAAAAGCGGAATTTTAAAACGAGCTCGAAGATATAATCAAAGCATGATCAATGACTACTCCCGGATAATATTGTTATCAGGTAGTTTGTGGATGTATTATGTTAACGATATCAACAACCATTGATTGACTCAGATCGTGCCGCTATCGCGGCATCAATAGCTGTTGGATGCCGCTAACTAAATATCATCCACAAAATACCTGATACTGTAACTATATATGGTGCCGAAAGCTTATACTCGACAATCACACAATTTTCTCGTGATCGTATTTCGAATCTAACCTAGAAACCGCAACTCGGCTAATTTTTTAATCAGGTGTCCCAGGAATAATGAAAATAGCTGAAATTGACAACTAAATTTATTTAAAAAAAAAATATTACATAACGATAATTGATTACTGTCATATGATTCAATTCTCTCCGCTATAGGGCTGTTAATTGGTCCATCTGGTCCGGTCTGGTCCAAAGACCACTGGTCTTTAGCTAAACCGGATCGGACTGCGGTTTAGGACCAGGTTAGGACCGATTATAGTCAGATTGGATGGACTGGTTACTATATTAATTGGTTTATTTCCTGACAGCCTTTTCACCGACAGACATTTTGGGTCTGATTTAAGGTTAGGGTTAGTCAAGATTTACAGCTAATGTTAGCTACAGATTTATTGTACCAAAATCTTAAATCATATCTAATATATATTAGGCTACTGTTATGATTACAATTATGATCAAATAATCATATTGCGGATTTGCGGAATTTGATAAATAGAAAAACCATAAGCCGTAGCTCTGGTCAAATTTGCAGATTATTTGGCCAGCTTTGAATTTGAACAACTTCAAAGCTGGCCAAATGATCTGCAGAGCTACGGCTTATGAGTTTTTCTATTTATCAAATTCCAAAAATCCGCTGATATGTAATGCAATATTACAAATATGATTGGCTCGAATTTATAAAGTGAAATTTTTACTTAGGACCATACGATCCAACGATTCATCCTAAAAAATTTCAGGTCGCTTCGGTCTTTGGATGGATCGAAGGACACCAGTTTGGACTGGATCAATTAACAGCCCTACTCCGCTAGCCAATAAGAGGTTTAGAGATTTAAATAACTAAGGACCATTTTTGGAACCAAGACTTAACTGAGATGAACCGAAAATCATTAATAGATCGGTCTTGTTAGGGACCGGACTTGTTCATCCCTAGTTATTTTGAAAGACTCGCTACCAAATTAGTTATGTACGGAATTTTAAATTTATTTTCGACAAAACTAACAATTTATTGATTAATAAAATATAAATGAATAAAAAGAAATAACTTATAAAATATTTTCTTTTGTCTTCATCGTAATATTTCTTAAAAATAGAACTAACTTTATATTAATGACCTAATAATATTGTTCAAATTATTAAATTTCAAAACAATAAAAAAACGTGCTGAGTGCCTAAATTGTATGTGTATCGCTGTTAAGCGTTGAATAGGATTTAAGGTGATTTGCAGTTACGAAAGAGGCAAACGATTAAACACATATAAAGATATGAATGATCATTACAACAATTTATCAATCAATAAGATAATTAACAGTTATTCAGACTAAACACATTAGTCTCTCGGAATAACTATGTCCTTGAGTTTATTCAATAGTCAAATTAAACTATACTTAAGTTTATTTAGAATAAAACTAGAATAGAACTAGAACTATCGATCTCCCAGAAGGATTTTGAAAATATTTATATATGTTTTAGAGATTACAATACTAACAGGATAACTATCGACTATGCTAATATCTATATAGTATGGTTAATTATATAAGAAATAAGGAAAATGATATATATATATATAAACTAATAAAAGGTAAAAATATAATATTTTTATTAAAGTTAATTAATCCTGATCAGAACTCTTAGGATTAGTCAGTATTGGTATCAGTATTCGATACATTGTGATATTATCTATACTAATTTCATGGATATGAATATTCATGAAATCACATGATCAATAGTTTACCAGGTTTGTATATAATACTGGTTACATAAATTTAATGTTGCTAAAAGGTTTAAAATTGTAATTTCATTTGATTAATGCTTGAAACTATAGTTCTGCTAGCTACCTCAGCAGAACTATAAAAAATTAGTGTAGATACACTAATCAGATCTCTTCTAACAATTGACTCTCTATAAAACTACCTTCTATGCACTAATAAAAAAAATTTTCTGCAAAATTTAGTATAAAAAAAAACTCTAACATCAGTCATAACTCTAACTCTAATATAAGTTTTATTACTTTAAAAATTTGATTATTTTGTTAATATAGATCATTTAATTAAGTTGAACAGAGTGTTTAAATAGATAACTTATAGATGGGTTACAGGTATAGTAGTATAGTATAGTACTAACAGGTGGTCTAATATCTGCATAGCGGACTACTTAAATTAGACAATGACTAAAATTGTACGTGTAGCTTGTTGTACACTCTTCATGTAATTACAAACTATAAAGGAACCTCATGTGGAACTCCATATATCAAACTAATAAAATTTATTCAGCCATGTAAGCCACCTTAAAAATAAAAAAATAAAAATATCTATTCTGTTTTGAATATTGTTTAAACTATTTTTTTAACAAATGTTTTTAGTGAAGTTATGAGACTTAGCTCTATTCATTTAAAAATATATTTTATACTACTATTGCTAATATTGTTTAATATTGTAGTATAGGCTTTATAAGATCCTTTTTTCACTAAAGTATTTGCTAAATCATTGCAAGTATCTTCTGAATAGCTCTTGGTTTTGGTGAATTTTAGTTGCACTATCTTGCTTTTGCAAACTTTTTTAATTGCACACAAGATATTATTATTCTTAAACTTTAGCTATTCTTGTACTTTCTCTTTTTTAAGATATCTTTCAATTACTAGAATTATACAAGTGCTATTAGTTCTTATTTCTATTATATATTTATTTAGTACTAAAAAAATTACTATTAGATAAGCTATTAACTCTGCTCAAGTTAATAAGAACTAGTTTTTAATCTTTTCCTTGTATTTAAAAACTACATTATTTGTGCTATCTATTTGTACTATACTATACTTTATCATTAATCTATTCCTAATATCTTTCCTACTAAGTGAGCTATCTGTATAGAATACTATTTCTTTTTCTTCTTTATTTGCTTCTAATCTATCTTTTAGTTCTTTTCTAATTTTAGTATTCTGTATAGTTTGATTAATTAACTTTGCTTCCTAGCTTCTTTCTATTTCAATATATTCTAAATTTTTAAACTTCTTAATTTTTTTTGCTTTGCTTTTCTTAATATCTCTTCCTATTTTTTCTAAATACTCTTTGTTAAATATTACCTGTAGTGTATTATCTTTTTTCTGTATAAAGCTTGAAATATTATATACTTCTTTTAAGAGGATTCTTTATTTTTAGTTGTTTTTTTTTAGTTTGAATCTGTTGTTGTATACTCTTAGTTAGCTATTTTTTTGAAGTACATTTTTATTATCTTCTTTTCAAATTTTGACTTCAACTAGCTTCTTTTCTTTTCTAATAATACATCTGAACTTACTTTTTTTGTTTTTGTTTTCTTTTATGAGAACCTATTCTTTTTCTCTTTCTTGTACCTAGAAACCTTTTTTCTTTTTATATTCTTCTTTTACTTCTCTTAATTCTTTGTTTACTAGTATTTTATCTTCTATTACCTTATACTACTTCACCTTGTTACTAATATATCTTTTTTTTTCTCTTATTTTGAGTTGCTTTCAGATAATCATTTTTTCCTATTTTTTATCTAAGAGTTGGTTTATATACCATAAATTGAGCTTGCTTATACTTATTTGTATTTTATTTAT